AAAAAAAACTGTTTCCCCCCGGGGGCGAACCGGGGACCTTTCGCGTGTGAGGCGCCCCGGGGATAAAAACTTTCATACGGAAAATTTCCTATTTTCTCTTACCAAAAAAATGCATAATCAGTGTATTAAAAATAACGATGTTACGTAGGGCGTGTTGTTAAATTTAAAAGTACTTTTCACCCTGTTTAAACTTGGAAAAAATTTTTTTTTGGGAAAAAAGGCGGAAAAAATTTGATTAAAAATTTTGGCCCTGAACCCCAGTTTTAAAAAGGAGATGGGCAAAACAAATTTCCCTTTTAAAAAATTTTTTTGGGGAAACTTGGGCCAACCTTTTATAGCCTTTTGGAAAAGAAAAATGGGCAGAGGTGAAGTTTTTCGGAAATTTACATTTAAATAAACTAATTCAAATTTAGCTTTGTTTTTTAAAGGGGACCCCCTATTTTGGGCAAATTAGGGCACACCCCCCCCCCTCGCAAAAAAAAAAGGGTTTTCCCCGGGGAAAGTTAAATCCGAGCTAAGAATTCATGTTTTTTTTTTGTTTTTGCCACCGAAGTGGCTAGTTTTTATGCAAACCCCCCAAACCCCTCCTTTTGGACGGGTAGCACAAAGGGAAAAATGGATACACAAAAGGCCTAGGGGGAAATAGGCCCCAAAAAAGGGTTAAAAGGTGTTTCATATGGATTTTATTCTTTTAAGTTTTAATTATTTTTACAAGAAATTTTTGGGAAAATTTTCTTAAATATATTGGTATCTTTAAATAAGAATACATGAATGTTATAAAACCTTTCTTTCCCAAAAATGAAAACCATAATCTCCTTGTCCTCTTACATCAAAAATCCTGGGGTACTTGAATGGATATAATCTTATCCCCTTTATGTAATTTAAACCCTTTTGGTTTTTAACAGGCAAACATTTTCGTTTTTTTTAGGGGCACGAATCGGGGGACCCAAAAAAGGCTGTTAAAATATTTTTTTTTAAAATTTTTAAAGTGGGTTCTGCGTCTAAAAAAAAATTTTGGATAACCCTTTCAAATTTTAAATTCCTCTGGGGAAGAAAAAAATAATTTTGGTTTTAAAATGTACAGGCCTGATCCAGACAGGGAGGGTGGCAAAAGACCCGGGCCCCGGGGGGGTTGACCCCCCGGGAAATCTCTCCCGGTAAACTCCCGGTTAAAAACCCCCTGTCCCGCTTCCATCATAAAAACATTTTTTTTTAGGTGACAGGGGTGGTGGTTAGGGCAAGAAATTGTGGCGAAGGGGGAAATTAAAAAATTAGGTTAATGTTTAAAAGAGTTTTTTTAATTTTCTTCCAGATCCCTATTACTTTCCAACAGTACTTTATGATATTTTTAATTCATTTTTATAAGATTTCTAAATTCATGAAAAGTACCCTCTGCTGCTGCATAGGTTTAAAAATGTTCAGTTCTGAGACTCCATTTTAGCGAAAACAGCTGAAATAACTAAGTCTTTTCCTCAGTTTTTTTTTACCGAATTTTCTCAAATTTTTCAAGTCTCGTCTGGATTTTAAATTTCCTTTTTTAAAATTTAATTTTAAAAAGTTTGCTCTTTTTAAGGGCCCTTTTTAAATTTTCTCCTTAAATTTTTACTTAAATTTTTCCCAAATAAACTCCCGGGTAACAAGGAAACAAAAAAGATTTCCCGAAAATTTCAATTTCAGGCATTAAATGTGCGGGGGAAAAATTTTTTTGAAATCAAACGGAAAATTTTTTCTTAACTCACCTTTTTGGGCCAGACTTCAAAATGTCTGTTCCTGGGGGAAGGTAAACTGGGGGAAACCCGGTTTTCTAGGTTTAAACCCGTCAATTTTATTAAATGCATTAAAAAGTCAAAGTTTGAGGGTTCCCCAACTTGTTGTTGATTAAAATTTTTATAAAATTTCAATTTTGGGTGAAAATAATGGGGCTTAACTCTTGGAGAAGGGACAGGCGATGAAACACGTGGAAGTGTAAAGGAAGTTTACACTTCATCAGTAACCCCCACCTGAAGTCTACCTGAAAGGTGTTACGGGGTCAACGTCCCCGGGGCCCGGTCCACGAACAGGCCTCACGGTAGATCGGGGCCTGATCAACCGGCTTGTTACCGCTGGCCGGATGCAACCCAACATATGAGCCACAGCCTGGCTGGTCAGATACTAAGTATCTGTCGGGCTCCCTCTCTAAAACATCCATGGATCTATTGGTAATACCCCTTATGTATGCTGGGAGGCGGTTGAGCAGTCTTGGGCCCCTGACACTTATTGTGTTATCTCTTAGTGTACTCATGGCGCCCCTGATTTTCACTGAGGGGATGTTGCACCACCTGCCAAGTCGTTTACTGTCGTAGGGAGTGAATTGTGTGTACAGATTCGGAACTAGTCCCTCTAGGATTTTCCAGGTGTAAATTACAATGTATCTTTTTCGTCTGTGTTCCAAGCAGTACAGGACATGGGACTTCAAACGGCCCCAGTAACACACACACACACACACACACGCATATACTACAGGCCTAGTGTCTAATCGACATGTGCCTAGGACAAAATGGTAACTAACACACACACAGATTCATTGGTGTCCCTGTTTGCAGACGTGAAACTAATGCGAGGAGTTCACGTGGATGAGGATCAGGTAGGAGTACAAAGATATCTGGACAGGCTGCAAACCTGGTCCATCTACTGGCTCCTGGAGCTTAACCCTACCAAGTGTAAAATCATGAAGATTGGGGAAGGTAAAAAAAAAAAAAAAAAACGAAGACAGTACAGGCTAGGGGGTCAAAGACTGCAAACCTCACTCAATGAAAAGGATCTTGGAATAAGTATAATACCGAGCACATCTCATGAGGCGCACATCAACCAAATTACTGCTTCAGAAAATGGGTGCCTGGCAAACCTAAGAACAGCATTTCGACACCTTAGGAAGGAAACGTTCAAGACTCTGTACACCATGTACGTCAGGTCCACATTGGAATATGTAGCACCAGTGTGGAACTTACACATGTTCAAGCACGTCAAGAAATTAGTGAAAGTGCAAAGGTTTGTAACAAGACTAGTCCCGGATCTAAGGGGTATGCCCTACGAGGAAAGGTTAGGGGGAAATCGACCTGACGACACTGGAGGACAGGAGATGGGGGGGGGGGCATAATAACGATAAACAAAATACTGAGAGTAATTGACAAGGTGTATAGGGACAATATTTCAAAGATGGGACACAGCAACAAGGTGTCATAACTGGAAACTGAAGACTCAGACGAGTCACAGGTAAGTTAGGAAATTTTTCTTCAACCATAGAGTTGTCAGGAAGTGGAATAATCTGGACAGTGAAGTAGTGGAGGCAGGATCCATACACAGCTTTAAGAAGAGATACGATAAAGCTCATGGAGCAGGGAGAGTGGACCTAGTAGCGACCAGTGAAGAGACCGGGCCAGGGACTATGAATTGACCCCTGCAACCACAAATAGGTAAGTACCCACAAACACACACACGAGCTATGAATTGATCCCTGTAATCACAAATAGGCGAGTACAGTAGACTTGATTTAAACAATCGATTTTATTATATACCGCTTAAATTATTTGTCTGGGACATATTATAAAAATACATAAATCAGGAGTTGATTTCGAGCCACAAATGACAAATTTAATTAGGAGGTTATCACATGTGAATATTTATAAATCATAAAGCCTAAATAATAGCACAATATAATACTATGAATGAAAAATATGTAGCATATATAAATCATGCAATACAAAAATAGTATATATCATTAAACAATATATGTAGAAGCAATAAATTACCAAAGAGGACAAGGCCTGTACGCATAACTATTTTGCTAACTTCGCCAAAAATGTTTCATATATACTGTTACAAAATACCAAATAAAGTGATAACCACTTCCCACCAAGTGTAATAATAAGTTATAAAACAAATGTAATAAACACAATAGAAGATAATTAAAACCCAGTCAAAATTTATTCACTTAAAATATGCCCCCCCCCCTTAAAAAAATATCCTTATAATACAGCTATTAGGAACCATAAGTTACCTTTTCTAGAAATACAATAATCATACTCTAATAATCCCACTTGTGTGACCAATTAACAAACAACCTAACCTGCCCACCGTGCCTTACATAACATACTCATCTCACAGCTTGAAGAATGTATTCTTCGTCTAATGTTCACGGTTACTTCGCACAGCTCCAGGAGTCACACTGTCAATGTCAGCAACAGAATGTGTTCAAACTAGAGTAGTGAGCAGCACCTTCCTCCCTCGTCCCTGAAGCTTCACTCTTCAAGTCATCGTTACGCTCATAACCGCCTCCCAAACAGCCTATTTTACACAGAAATGTCTAAATAACAAAAAACAACTAATTGCTGCTCCCTAATCATTGATAAAGTAACAAGAATATTTTTAGCATCCTTATACATGTGTAAGAATACCGTCTTTCAAGTTTCTAATGTAAAACTTACAATAATACTGTTTTATAATGAAATTGTCAAGATAATACTAGTTAAAATTTTTATCATAGCGTGAATTAAATAAATTAAAATATCTGTACAATATTGATTTACAACTGAATTAAACCTGTATACCAACAGCTAATTTTTTGCCTTTTTTATTTAAACAAAGAAGCAGCCCGAACACAGAAACAATTATGTGAATATTACCAATGAAATAAGTCACAGTGAATAATAAATAAATAATTAAATAAATAAATAAATACATGTTTGTTTTCCAAGAAGATATATTTGCGTTATTCTTATTTAACATTGGCTTATATTTGTAATATCTTACATTGTAATGACTATAGTTATACAAAGTATTTCGGGTCAATCTTTATTAAATTTAAGTTATGTTGTGTTTTATTTAACCATAACCTCTGTGGGCCTCAAGACTACTTCAAAGATTTTGTATACAGTGTGTTCCAAGCCTAGAAGAAAATAAAATAGGCACGAGGTGTGTGGTGGCGGGAAGACGGCGCGAGAGTGAACAACCTCAGTGCTGACGTAACTGTCATCTTGACTGGTGATAGTCACTATTCTGACGGCTGTCCTGCACGAATTACTCCTTTTATCCTTGGAGAAAGGTCACTAGAGTTCATGAGGACTATCTACATATATAGGTGAACTTTAGATTAAATTTATTTCTTTTATTCAGTACGCAGATAATGTAGTTTACTTTTACTAAAATATTGTTAGGCAGAAAAGAAGAAAAAGCTAGTATACAATGCATTTCGGGCTATATATAACAAATAATTATTTGAGTAGAATTCACAGGTGATTTGATCAATGTTGGAAGGTTTACGCTAGTTTTGAATATAACAATACTGGTTGACAAAATTACCTTTGTATCTTAAATTTTTAGCAATTTTGTGTTATGCTAATCACTTTGTGTCATAGATATCTGGTAAACTTTTGTACAATTTTGCTTAAAGTATATATAATCATGTATAAATAATGTTAGAAGTATAATACTCAGGCTAATGGGAAAATTACAGTATTTTTCAATGAAGCCTTTTATCTTATTTTTTTGAGGCTATGGATCCGTCCCCACAAGTGCATCTGGTGATTTTACTGCAGTCGTAGCTATGAATTTAAGTAATATCCATATGCCGAGAACACCCAACCTGAAACTGATTAACTCCCATTTCCTAGGCACTGTACAACCCCAGCGGGTTTAGAAATTTGAAAAAAAAAAAAAAAAAAAACTTGCTGAAAAACAAGCATTACCTCGGTATTCCAGTCTTACAGACCATTTATGGAATAATTGCAATAATGCGTAATTGTTATAGCCATGTATTGGTGTTAAGTTATGGGTTAATCCAGGATTAACATAGGTCAGGTTTATTAGGAAACCGTAAGTGTTTCCTGACGCGGGTCTTAGTCATATGATGACCCGCAACTGGAGCTTTTGGTTATCTGACAGAGACCTTCCACTGGCTTACCGGTCCACTTCTTTAAAAATTATGGTTATAATTATAACCATTAGGAAATGAAACCAGAATTAAACAATGCCAAGTTATATAACTTATTTACACTAGGGTCCTCAAGTCTTCCTCTTAGTCACAAATTACATTATAATTTTCTTTTATATCTACACTCTGTATGACCCCTGTGGGTTAACCGCTTAGTCTTGATTATAATTATATATATATACCCTCCACCTCCCTTCTGGGATTAACTTCCCGTTACTGACAAGAGATAACCGTTATCTACCCTGCATATCAGGCGGCCTTTTTTTGTATTTACAATAATGTAAAAGAAACGTTTAAGGATCAGTTAGGCATTATGTACGTCATCTTTATATTGAAGTTTAGTTATGCAAGATCACCAGCTGTTGCGTTCTACATAACTGATTCTAACTATTATCCACAAATGATAAGCAGGTTGTGGAAAATTTGGCAGGTAAATGCTCGAACTCTCTTACAGATGCTTTAATATATAAAAATCAGTAAATATTTGAAGTATCATATATGTAAACAAAACTCTTGAGTCAGAGGTTTAACACTTTATTATTTGATTATAATAAATAATAATCTTGAATCAGAGGGCAAGAGTTTAATACAAATACCTTCACTTCGTCAGGGGATTAAACAGTTCATTACCACTGAGTTTTTTGTTATCAAAACTTTGGGACCCAGTCCCTGGACCTGTTTTGCTGCTAATCTTTTAACTACAGCATATTGGATGGGTATGGGACGCATAATACAAATATTAAACTAATTATCCAAAAGCACCACAGCCTGATTGATAAGGCCATGGACTAGTCTGGGCCTTCGCTACGAGGGCGATGATCCTGGATTATATAACAGGCGGGGACGTTGACCCCCGAAACACCTTACAGGTAGGCAAATACATGCTCGATTGGTTCCCTTCGAGGGTGGTGCCTTAATGCTATTAATAAGGTTTTTGATCCAAGGATTTGGTGTTACGCTCTTTCTCGGATTAGGTCTGATTATCTCCCATTCCCCAGGTTCTGAGGGTTTAGTGCTTCATAAATTTTATAACTACTGCAATTGTCTATAATGTTAACCCCCCTCAGGAAGGTTCCTTGATGTTGGTGAGGGGCTCTTGATTTAGGGAATTGGATCTGTGCTCCAGTTCCCCGAATTAAGCCTGAATGCCTTCAACATCCCCCCCCCAGGCGCTGTATAATCCTCCGGGTTTAGCGCTTCCCCCTTGATTATAATAATATAATGTTAACCTTGGTTAGTGGGGTGAAAAAACGTAACTGTAGCAGAGCGTGGTTTCGATCCACGGACCTCTGGGTTATGGGCCCAGCACGCTTCCACTGCGCCACTCTGCTCCTCGCTGAGATGTAGAGAGATCCTGTATATAAACAAACTTTATTTCTTTGTGCAGTTTATAAAATGTAGTTTACGTGTAATGAAATATTGTTAAGCACAAAAGAAAGCTATTGTACCATTCAGATTTACAGTATGTCCCAACTACGCCTCCAAGGCTCTCTGATTCTTACTGTACAACCTCCATCCTGGATGGTATCTACTTCCTCTGTCGTCCCAACTTCCACAGCCCTGGGCTCCCAGGTCCCTACCTCGTCCACTCCCACTGTCCTTGCGTCTTCATCTCGCTCGCATGTCTTTACGACTTCCACAACTACCCATCACCTCGCGTCCCTACTTCTCCAAAGTCTAAAACCTCAAAATTCAAATCTCGTATCAATTTTGTTTTTCAGTGTTGTAACCCACAACAGTTAGTTTAATATCTTTATTATGCACCCCATACCCATCCTGTGGGCGGTAGTCAAAAGATTATAAAGGTATATAATGGGTCCAGGGACTGGACCCCAAAGTTATGATAGCTGAACTAGTTACAACAGTCGACTAAACTTACCTGGAGTTTACCTGGAGAGAGTTCCGGGGGTCAACGCCCCCGCGGCCCGGTCTGTGACCAGGCCTCCTGGTGGATCAGAGCCTGATCAACCAGGCTGTTACTGCTGGCTGCACGCAAACCAACGTACGAGCCACAGCCCAGCTGGTCAGGAACCGACTTTAGGTCTGGTCACAGACCGGGCCGCGGGGGCGTTGACCCCCGAAACTCTCTCCAGGTAAACTCTCCAGGTGCTTGTCCAGTGCCAGCTTGAAATTTTACTCATAGGTGAGCAGGGACACCACTATGAGGTGTGGATTAGCCAGCATCACTCCTGAGTTCCTCCACCTCAATGGAGATAAATGACCTTAATCTTATGGTTACGATTGTATAACCATAATTTTTAAGGGGTGGACCGGTAAACCAGCGAAAGGCCTCGGGCAGATGACAAAAGCTTCAACCGCGAGTTATATGACTAAGACCCTCATCAGGAAACACTTATCCTCTTCCTGACAAACCTTACCTAACCTAAGTCACTTTGACTTTTTTTTAGGTTATCCTAGGTAATTTACACAACTTGTTAGTTATGGTAATTGTACTTGCATGTATCTGAACCTAAATAAACTTAACCAGTTTTCTTGTCAAGCAAAGTATAGCAGGTATGTTGTGTAGTGGTTTTCTTTTAAAATGTTTATTGAAAAAAATTTATTTGTATGTAATGCTGCACTGTCCTGTGTGTCTTTTCTAGGTGTCGCACATGTTATGTCTAGATGTCCCACATACTGGAGGAAATGGACTGTGGCGACAACTAGGAAGGTACAGTAGTTGGAGAACAAGCTTTTATTAGAACACCATTTTGTTTTGTGACGATGAAGCTCTGTTCTGCAACAAAGTAAGAAGCGTAGGACACTTGAAGCCAGCCCCTCTATTTTTTTTTTTAAGCCTTGATCAATTTAGGTAAAATATTTTAGGCCTACATTGCTGAGTTCTTATCAAAAGTCATTAAATTGTCTTTGCAAGTTTATAGATTTAATTTATAATTCTCCTTTTGAAATTGATTAGTTTCTTTGTTAATGTCATTATCATTAATAATACTTATGTGAGATAACATTCAGATAAAGATTTTAAACCTTTGGTTATACAACGGTTAGATAATTAAACGTGTCTTTCCTTAATTACTATAGGTATTATGCCTTCGTATCTATTTCTCAATTTACATTTTTCGTAGAAGCATCAGCTATGATCCTTAACATGAAGGTTCTTTGAATGTTCCTGTTCTTTTTTTAAATTATAAGGACCAAACTTTGACTAAAGAAGCGCCCCCGGGTGGGCTCGAACCACCAACCTTTCGGTTAACAGCCGAACGCGCTAACCAATTGTGCCACGGAGGCTTGGGAGATAGCGTCTGGAAACTGGAGTACAGTTAAAATTTAGGGGATCCAAGTCGGCTGATATTTTCTTTAGTAAGTAAGCATAATATAAATTATATACGAACTAAAATGTCAAAAGGAAAATTTACAGGCCTAGATACATTAGTCCCACAAAAGGCTTTAAACATAATGAACCAGTGATATGTTAAAACGTTAAGCAGTACCTGCCTAGGCTCAGTAAATTAATTTATAATAATAATAGTCTTACCTAAACAACAGGGAAAAAAAAACGTTTTAAAGCCAATACTGAATAAAAGCCCTGACTGATAACTTGTGGAGTTCCACAGGGGAGTATCTTAGGCCCCCGCTCCTATGCTTCTTGTGTTATGCCAGTGATATATTAAAAGCAAATTTCTACTATATACAGGTGACAGCTCATTTGATGCAGGGAAAGACCCAATGCGATCAATATTTACAATATTCCGGAGACATTTATGTATTATCACTGGAAATGGTGTCGTGCAGACGATGGTTATTAGATAAGTGTTGCTACATATGAACAAAATAGAAGCAGTGTTATTTGGATCTAAATGTAAGCTAATGCTTGCATGTAAATCCCTGTTGGTCATACAGCGCTGTAAAACTACATATGAAACATAAATATGATTAATTTATTAAGTCATAATTCCCGTAATGCAGATAAAGGGTTCTTGATCCAATAATTTGATCCAGTAATTTAGGTGCTTCATTGTACTTATACGTGCAGTGACAGTTCTCTGTATATTCTCCAGGTCTGCAGTTTTGTCTGCCTTGAAAGGGGTCATAAGTGTACAGCAATATCCCAGCCTAGAGAGAGCAAGCGATTTGAAGAGAATCATCATTGAATTGGCATCCCTTGGTTTGAAGGTTCTCATTATCCATCCTATCATTTTCCTAGCAAATGTGATAGAAACATTGTTGTGGTCTTTGAAAGTGAGTTTCTCTGATATTATCACTCCCAGGTCCTTCACATTAGTTTTCGCTCAATAGTGTGGTTGTAATTTCGTCTTATACTCCGATCCAGTTTTAATTTCGTAGAGTTTTCCATAGTGGAGTAATTGATATTTGTCTTCATTGAACTTCATATTATTTTCTTTAGCCCATTTAAAGTCTTAGATAATGTTCACTTGGAGATCTGCAGTGTCCTCAGTGGATGACACTCATGCAAATTCTGGTGTCATCAGCAAAGGAGGACACGGTATTCGTCCTCATATCTGTCTGTGTCAAATATGAGGATGAGGAAAATGAGGGGAGCGAGTACTGTACCTTCTAGAAGAGAGCTTTTCACTGTAGCCGCCTCTCTGACTACTATTTTTATTATTACTCTTTTTTGTTCTATTTGTAGGAAGTTATTGATCAATCCACCCACTTTTCCTGTTATTCCTTTAACACGCATTTTGTGTGCTATTACACCATGACCGCACTTGTCGAAGGCTTTTGCAAAGTCTGTGTATACCACATCTGCATTTTGTTTATTCTCCAGTGCATCCAGGACCATGTCATAATGGTCCAGTAATTGTGAGATGCAGGAGCGACCTGCTTTAAACCCATGCTGACCTGAGTTGTGCATTTGATGGGTATCCTTGTGGTTGGCGATCTTGCTTCTAAGAACCCTTTCCACGATTTTTATGATGTTTGACGTTAGTGCTGTCGGTCTGTTAATTCTTTATAATTGCTTTACTGCCATGTTTGTGGCATATATAAATCTACTTTTATAAAGATACTCTAAGTACCGGCAAAAATTTTGTCAGCCAGTTACCATCGTCGTTACAAGCTACTCAAATTCATTCTTGGAAAGAGTTTTTACTCTGTTTACAAAGTCTGAGTTACCTGATATTATTTCTTCCCAGGAGAGAGAGATTAGAGGAACGTTTTTTTTCCATAACTGTAAATATATGTATGAACTAGGAGGTATATAAACATCCTCAGAGGTATACAATCTATTTGTTGCAGAATATAAATTTTGTTTTGGTGCACCAACTATGTTCTTGTACCCCCCAGTACCAACAATACCACCAGTCCGATGACATTCTTCTTTGCAAATATACAGGGTCTAAAGCCAGCAACAAACAACAAAATACCTTTCATCCGTGGACTGCTTGCAGAGGCAAAGGCAATGTTCGCGGCTTTCACTGAGACCCACATAAAGGATCACTTGGACAACGAAATATGGATCCCAGGTTACAACCTATACAGATGTGACAGAGTGAACAGGCAAAAGGGATGGGGGGGTTGGCCTGTACATTGCAGAGTCACTTGTTTGCACAGAACTGCTTAATGCCTCAAATGATGTAGTGGAAGTTTTAGCAGTAAAGGTCGAGAACCAGAACCTAGTCATTGTGGTAGTCTACAAGCCTCCGGATGCAACATCCCAGCAATTCCAGGAACAGCTGTTAAAAATTGACCACTGTCTGGAAAATCTTCCAGCTCCTGCACCCAACATCTTGCTCCTGGGGGATTTCAACTTAAGGCACCTAAAATGGAGGAATATAGCAAATAATATTGTTGCAGTAATAACACCAGGAGGCAGCTCTGATGAAAATCACACTCACACGAGCTTTTAAATCTCTGCACAAAATTCAATTTAAACCAGCAAATAATAGAGCCTACTAGACTGGAGAATACACTAGACCTCATCTTCACTAACAATGATGATCTGATAAGAAATGTCACCATATCAAAAACAATATACTCAGATCACAACATAATTGAGGTTCAGACATGTATGCGTGGAGCCCCAGACCGACATAATGAGACTATTAGGTAAGACACATATGCAACAGTTAGGTATCTTCATTTCGAAACGTTTCGCCTACACAGTACGCTTCTTCAGTCGAGTACAGAAAAGTTGATAGAAGCAGAAGAGACTTGAAGACGATGTAATCAGTCCATCACCCTTAAAGTTTTGAGGTGGTCAGTCCCTCAGTCTGGAGAAGAGCAATGTTCCATAGTCTGAAACAATATGGAGTTGAAGTGACAGGATGGAGCCTTATATAGCGCCAGGAGGTGAGACGTAGGTCACTAGTAGAACGCAGATGTTGGGAGGTCAGGTCCCTCTCAAATCCAGCCGTTCTCACTAGTAGAGGTTGTCGAAGTTGATTTCAGGTCTGTACCAAGATACCCTTGTGTTGCAGTGTCTGACAGATTGAACATTAAAATGGTATAAAATACCGACAGGTTGTTAGGTAAGACACATATGCAACAGTTAGGTATCTTTATTTCGAAACGTTTCGCCTACACAGTAGGCTTCTTCAGTCGAATACAGAAAAGTTGATAGCAGAAGAGACTTGAAATAAAGATACCTAACTGTGGGCTGCAGAAAACAATATGAAGTTCAACGATGAGAAATTTCAATTACTCAGATATGGTAAACACGAGGAAATTAAATCTTCATCAGAGTACAAAACAAATTCTGGCCACAAAATAGAGCGAAACACCAACGTCAAAGACCTGGGAGTGATCATGTCGGAGGATCTCACCTTCATGGGCCATAACATTGTATCAATCGCATCTGCTAGAAAAATGACAGGATGGATAATGAGAACCTTCAAAACTAGGGAGGCCAAGCCCATGATGACACTCTTCAGGTCACTTGTTCTATCTAGGCTGGAATATTGCTGCACACTAACAGCACCTTTCAAGGCAGGTGAAATTGCTGACCTAGAAAATGTACAGAGAACCTTCACGGCACGCATAACGGAGATAAAACACCTCAATTACTGGGAGCGCTTGAGGTTCCTAAAACTGTATTCCCTGGAACGCAGGCGGGAGAGATACATGATTATATACACCTGGAAAATCCTAGAGGGACTAGTACCGAACTTGCACACGAAAATCACTCACTACGAAAGCAAAAGACTTGGCAGACGATGCAACATCCCCCCAATGAAAATCAGGGGTGTCACTAGCACGTTAAGAGACCATACAATAAGTGTCAGGGGCCCGAGACTGTTCAACTGCCTCCCAGCATACATAAGGGGGGTTACCAACAGACCCCTGGCAGTCTTCAAGCTGGCACTGGACAAGCACCTAAAGTCGGTTCCTGACCAGCCGGGCTGTGGCTCGTACGTTGGTTTGCGTGCAGCCAGCAGCAACAGCCTGGTTGATCAGGCTCTGATCCACCAGGAGGCCTGGTCACAGACCGGGCCGCGGGGATGTTGACCCCCGGAACTCTCTCCAGGTAAACTCCAGGTATAATGAACAGTGGGCTTGTCTGCCATTTGACAAACGGCTAGGTGCAGCCTTCAGCGCTCCACAGAGCTGTTGGTAATATGCTGCTTACAGACTTAGCAGTCGTTCTGTCTCCATTAATATAGCCTCGCATGTACTTTTTGTGACCGAGATTTTCTGAGCATTTTGTGTCTGCAGCCTTTAACTATATTGTTCATCATAGCCTCTGAGAGAAAGGGTCATCACTCTGAGCTTCGTTCAGAGTATCCGTACAGCACTGATACACATTCACCAACCACCAACACATTTCACATGTTATTGTGGACTTTGTTTCTGCACCTTGTCATACTTGGTCCTAGTCTGAAAGCTCTCCGCGCTAGGTCGTTTTACAACTTGCTTTTTTACTTTTGGGATACACCCAATTTTAGTTGTGCCGCCTGAGCGGCTAGTTCATTGTGCAGCTCATGCTCATCCTGTGTGTGGTAGCGAAAAAAAAAAATGGGATTTCAGAGGTCACAATATGCTTTTGTGGAGTAGACTATATATTTGGGCTGGCTTTGATTTGGCTTGTTTTAGGCATTGTTAGCCTTTGCTTATGTTTGGTGTATTGGATTCTGAGCCTGTATTGTCTGCTTTTGCATCTAATTAGTAAATGGAATTCGTATTTGTCAAACTTTGCAGACTTTAATCTATAATCTAGGACTGAATGAACTTTGTCTTATTGGTGTTCATAAACTGTATTTTGTGAACCGAGCCTTTGACTACATGGTGTCTGCGCATGCAAGCACTGTGTTGACTTTGGGACATGGGCAAGTGGGTTGCACACTTCGATACTTGTACGAGTCTTAAAGAGTTTTGGTTTAATGTATCCTTTATGATTAATCCAGTGATGGACTTAGAATAGTTATCAGTTGTGAGCTGATTAACTTAAAATTGTATAGGATGTCTTTATTTAGTAAAGATAGGTGCATGTTACACTTCTTGTTTTACCAAATTCCTTGACCGGTGAACAGAAGTACGTTTTATGGTATAAAACTGTGAGATGGTTTGCCTATAATAAGCCCTTGTCTGGAAGCAGGGGTCAATAATATCACACACCTGTACACCAATGAAGGACACTATTACCTAAGACAGAAAAAAAATGAACAGAATCATTCACACTTCGTTGTGTATATAACCTTGACTAGTGATGATTAGGAAAGTTATTCAGCCTCACTTCATATGGTTTTGCATGTTATTATACATTTATACAAGGGTTGCAATAAACAATTTGTAAAGAAAACATATGTAAAGCATGAGAAAACTTTCCTTTAGGCGACGTTTTGTTTAGGAGCTTCAGTTTTATAGAGTATATATATCAGAGACTATATTGTGAAAGGAAGGTCAGATGTGATGAAGCCAGGTGTGGTCTGATGTGTAAGGTCACCTGACGGCCGTGTCCTGTGAGATTATCTCTACCAGGATTTTTCGTATGCTACAGCTTCCGATTTGCACAGTTGTATTGCTAAGAAATATTACGATAGACCAGTCATGTCTAACGGATCTACTTTCTTTTAGTAAAGCATTTGAGGCAGTGGAACAGGCAGAGTACGATGTTGTCTATTTGGATTTCAGTAAGGCAAAATTTTGATAGTTACGCACAGACTAATAAAAAAAAGTGGCAGCATATGGTATAAGTGGAAATATTGTTGCATGGGTAGAAGTACGGCTAAAAAAAAATCAGCAACAAAAAGTACATAAATGGGGTAAAATCAGAATGAGGACATCAGAAGTGGCGTTCCACAGGCAACAGTGTTAGGCCCTTGCCTGCGGGACCTGGAGAGTAGGAATCAAGAGTTGTTTACATAAAATATTGAAGCTAACTTAAACATAATCTTTATTGTTTTGTGACTTGAATGTATTTTCTCGAATGAAACAGAGACATTAATTGAAAAACCAGCTTTTATTGGGACAACTTTTCTCTCTGTGTTAGAACTTTTTCATGTGGGCAGGGTATTCCTGCATCGACATGTGTCATCTGATGTCTGTATACAGACGGATCAAAGTTACTTTTGCTAATGGAAAACTGACCTTAATCCGCAGATTCCAAGCATCCTTGTGCAAATTCTTCATTATACTGTGTGGAGCAAAACATTGACTCGATAAAAGCTTTCTTCGCAACTTGCGTCTTTGTCTTCATATTCGTCAATTCGCCATTTTAGATATCTATCTTACATTTTTCCCAAGGACCAACCATACTATAAAACCATTTTTTTTTATATAATTTTTATTTATAAGGTTTATGCGCTACTTGTGCTGGATTGCTAGAGGAGGAGGACGAGGACAGGACGGAATAGATGGAAAAGAGTAAGAAGAATAGAGGAGGGGGGTTAGGAAAGGATGATACAGCAGAGGTGAAGAACTACAATCCTTTCACGTAAGATGCCCTTAAGTGTGGTGCAATAATGCTGATGAAGGAATCCTGATATAAGGAATCCTAGCTGCCCAACCCTTCCTAGGATCTAACCTACTGACTCCCTCCCCCCATTCCTATTCCCCAGACTCTATATCCCCTGTGAATATAATTTAATATAATAATGTAAGTAAGATCACTGGATGAGACTGTAATTGAAGAGCCAGATTATTATAATGGGGAGCATTAAACCCGTAGGGATTATATAGCGCCTGTGGGGGGGAAGGCATTCTGGCTCAATTCAAAGAACTGGAACAGATCCAATTCCCTAGCACAACCAGCTTAGGTACATTCCACAAGGCTGCTGGAAACATAAACACATATGCAGTTTAATGACAACGTTTCGCCCATATAGTGGGCTTTTTCAAGTCACAAACAGATCTACCTGGGGTGGAAGGTACGTGAGTATTTATAGTCAGGTTCAGAATGTTGAGGTCAGGTGGATAATGCTGCATCTGAGGATCTACCGGGTGGGGTTATGGAGTCTAAAATCTTGGGTAGCTTGGCAGGGGTATTGGATAAGTTGTGAGCAGATGCAGCATTCTCCACCTGGCCTCAACATTCTGAACCTGACTATAAATACTCACGTACCTTCCACCCCAGGTAGATCTGTTTGTGACTTGAAAACCCCCACTGTGTGGGCGAAACGTTGTCAATAAAGGATCACATTAAACTGCATATGCGTTTATGTTTCCATTGTGTCGGTATTTTATACCATTTATTTTCACAAGGCTGCTCTACTAGGCTCTCTTGTATGTGAAATAAAAGATTCACTTTTTATACATGAAGTGCTAAACCCATGTGTTTCATACTGCATAATGAATGGTGGAGGCTCGATCCTCTATCTGCTAATCGCTCGACAGAAACATTACCATTCAGTATACCTTCATCTCTCTGAGAATTACAAGTGTGAAAGAAACAGAAAATTAAGATGTACCTGGGAAGGGCGTGAATCGCTCCATGTGTAATATATAATAAATATATGGTAAAATCACAAAATAGAACAATTACATTTTGTTTTGGGCCATAAGAATAGCGGAACACTGCAGCAGGCTTAATAGTAGCCTGTGTGTGAATATAGTTGCGAGTAGGCCATCACACACTCTCACTAGGTATAAACAAGCAGTCGTAAACAAGCACATAACAGTAAATATTGGTCTATCATGTATGAACCCGTCCTCATAGCCTACTTGATTGACTTTTTTTTTTTTTTTTTTAACTTGACAGTGACAACCCGCTGTTAGGCGTTACCTTATTCATCCTGCATATTTTCAGTCACCTGAAAATGTCCCGCACCAGGTAAAAATTAGTGAAATGTAGTTCTGAGGTATAGTCTTATGGAGACTTCTAGGATAGTTGCATTGCTAATTTAAATTTATATACCAAAAAATTCAATAATTTCGAGTTATTTATGCCAGGGAAAAGGAGAGCAAGTCTTTAGGTGATCCAGTAGGCTTGATTAGGTCAAATTAACTTCACCCAAATCTTCACTAAAATTTAATTGATGCAGAAGTGTTGAACGTTCAAAAATAGACGCACTTGCTATTATGAGGACAGGTTATGTATATAGTTGAGTGAGAAGGATCAACTAGAGATCTTTATTAATAATTTTTATATTTATCACTCGGCGCTTGTGCCTTAAGTTTATTTAACAACACTGCTTTTCAGGGTGGGTGTTCCCGCTATGTAAATATCATAATAGGGTAGCAGCACACTGCAGGTGTATCCAGTCTTGCATAATAAATAAAAGGCTGCCTTGATGCTGCTTGAAGGCCTTTTCATCTAAGGAATTGGACCTGTGCTTCCCTTTTGATCACAACCGATTAACTCTTATTTACTGACGCTGAATGATCCCTGCAAGGTTAGCGCTTCCCGGTAATATAATAATAAATCACTAGAGTGCGTGAGGTGCTGAGGGTCACATGGTTCTGTCTTTGCTTCATACTTTTTTAAGCTCAATGAAGGCATCGTAGATCTCTTTATGTGGAGCGGCGTGGTCCACACTGCTGGTGTCGCCAATGTGGACACGACCGTTGACATTCTCATCGTAGTAGGTGTGAAGGACACTCTCCCGACCCTCCACGTCGTCTATCTCCCATGAGGAAGGTACTGGAGGGAGCAATGAGAGACCCTCTGGCCTCCCATCCGTCGCTACTTCTTGTCGACCTCTCCAAGATGCTCTTGTTGTAGAGGTAACAAACTGCTTTGGAATAGCGGGCGTGGTAGGAAGAGTTATGGTAGGGGGTGTTGTGGTTGGTCTTCTGCTAGCTACGACCTGCTGCCTTGGTCTAGACTGAGTTCTGGGAGAGGTTGGGATGAGGGGGTTAGACCTAGGCAGGGCTCTAGCGTAGGCGCTTACCAGGATGGGACGACGTTGCGAGTTGAGCACCTTGATGAGCGCGGGTTCGTTGCCTGGCTCTTGTCTTGTTTCCGTAAGGAAACCTGGTGTCTCCTGCTGATGCCGGAGAAACCGCCGGTTCTCATTGATTTGGTTTCTCCCCGAGATCTCAGACGCCTGTGTACTTCCCTGTATACTGTCAGGGACGCTGGAACCCAGAATTAGTATGGGTGTGGGCTGCTTGTTGGACTTGTGGGCTGGGCGGCGTCCCCCGGGAATGATGTCACTGACCCGTGGGAGCACCACAGGAAGAGGCAGCAGCTTCCTCTCCACCACAGTGTAGGGCAGCTTGCCAGAGTCCTCCTCACTATTTGCCAACTTGGGCTGACGGAAGGATATGCGTGCATGCTTCTGTAAGAGGCGTCGTCTGGCGTCCTTGGGGTCCTCTTCACTTCCTGTGCCCTCAGGGGTATCCGTGGTAGGATGGGTGATGGAATATGTTCCCAAGGGAGAAGCGGTGTCCTGACTGATGACCTGGATGTTGTGGCTGCTAGTAGAGAGGAGACCAGTGCGTGCTGAGGGGTGGTCTATGGAGGGCTCGGCCAAGTAGTCGCAGCGTTGACCAGTGAACAGTGATGGGCAGGAACACGTATAGTTGCGGCCGCCTCCAGTGTCAATACAAGTCCCACCGTTCAGGCACCAACCTTGATGACCCTCGCAGAACGGCCCTCCTGGCTCACCTGTTGAAACCAACACCTGTTACAAAGCCATGTAAATTGTATTGCATGAACAAGATTTTATCCGGGTTATGAACTCTGATAAACCAGGATACGGGCGAGGATTGAACCCGTGGTGAGACTCGTAAAACTCCAGACCGACGCGTTGGCCACTGGGCCAGCTAGGTACAATAAGATTCCAGCTGACCCAGTAGCTAACACGTCAGTCTGGAGTTTTACGACTCACCGCAGGTTCAATCCCCGCCCATACGAAGGTTTGTTTGCAATCGTGTCATTGCGATTTCTTGAGTCATGAACTCTGACAGTTAATAATCCAAGATAAACCTATAACGCCAGTGAATTGTTAAGTTCTGCTGCCTGATCAGCTATTTTTGTGTGTGTGTGTGTGTGTGTGTGTGTGTGTGTGTGTGTGTGCACACCCCTGCAGCTTACCCTATGAGCAGTAGCGCAAAAAACAGGATTACAGAGTAACAATGCTCAGTGGGGTCTCTCTCAGACCCCAATGAGCATTGTTATATTAGTTAGTTTAATATGTTTATTATGCACCCCATACCCATCTTGTGGGCGGTAGTTAAAAGATTACAGAGGTACATAATGGGTCCAGGGACTGGGCCCTCAGAGTTTTGATAGCTGAACTAGATACAAAGGTAATGAACTCACAAGTTACAAAGGGAATGAATCCTGTAAGTAAAGTTACTTACGTTTATATATGGCTTTAGTCATGAACAGATTATAGAGTAATGAGCAATTCACACGTCCACAATCGGTCACAACTATGAGTTATTGGTGCAAATATTAATTGTTATATTACTAGAAAGAAATATTACTCATGTCATATCTTACAATTACTTCTTACCATTAATGTACACAATACAGTATGGAATACAATTTAATATTTATTTTATTACCACTACAAAGCATTCGTCATAATTGGGTTACAATCTCACCTGTAAGAAAGGGTCATTCATCTAGTTGATGCAGAGTATGTAACAGACTACAAAACGGCTCAATAAAATACCAAAACCTATACAGCAGTTGTGGGTCTCATCTCAGGGGAGAGGAATAAAGAACCCTGAAGAAAATAACCACACTGCTTGAATTTATATACATAATTATCCTAGGTTATACGTCTTTTGAGGTCAATTACCAGCACTTACTGCTGACTGAAAATGATTAATGTACCTGATGAAATTTATCAGTGCAATTGCATTACACTATTTATAACACAGCTATCAGTAACATACGTTATTGATGAGGTGAGAGTAAGGATGATAGATCAGGTATCTGCAGTAATTCTGTTGGGTAAATATTGCAGACATTTGTTTACCCTCAAAAATGGACAAATTGCTGAGAGAATGAGTTTAACCATTGATCAAAAATATAGATGTGTGTAATAAGCATGACTCACGTGTGTCACAGAGCATGCCAGTCCATCCTGGCTCACACACACACTCCCAGGGTTCCTTGCAGCTACCGTGGTCACACCCAGGGTAGGGAAAGCACATGTCACATCTCTTTCCCCACCACCCCACTTCACACCTGTAAAGACCACACCTGTTATACATGTTTCTTGTAATGATTGGAGTTACCTATAAAACACTGACAAATTTGACATGGAAAAGTGGAATGTGATAACACATGTTGCTTGACTTTCTAAGGCTACATAACATTAAATCATCTCGTAAATGCTATAATATCATGTGCTAATGTGTCCATAACATCTGCTTTCTTTTTAAAATCATTATACAATGCATAATTGTTTGAATTTTTTGGAGATGGCCTAGAACACAACCCATTTATTCCCATAAGTTATTCACTCTATCTGTCGCATTTGCACGTGTAACTCCAGTTGTCTGGAACGTATCTTGTGAAATGTGGTTGTCTATAGTGTAATGAACGATTGTCAATGAATGAACAGGAAAGTTGATGGGGGAGCTCAAATCATGGTCCCAAAATTGACAGGTCCAGCACTTTGCTGCTTAATCCCTCAAGGAAGGCTCCTTGATGTGGGTGAGGGACTCTTGATCATGGGAATTGGATTTGTGCTCCAATTCCCTGAATTAAGCCTGAATGCGTTCCACCCCCACAGGTACTGTATAATTCCTACAAGTTTAGCGGTCCCCATGATGATAATGATAATAATTTACTGCTTAAATTGAGTTCATAGACTGGCTTTGAGGGAGGTAAAGATAAATATACTGTAAAAATTACTGGAGCTGTGAGAAAGGACAGAGGGTTATAGGTGGTAGTCACTTTCCTAGTAGAAGCCTCGTAGCTCAGCTCAGCAGTAAAGCACTGGACCTGGTAATCTTGGGACCATGGTTTGAGCAACCATCTACCTTTCTAATATATATATATATATATATATATATATATATATATATATATATATATATATTCTTTCAACAAACCAGCCGTATCCCACCAAGGCAGGGTGGCCAAAAAAGAAAAACGAAAGTTTCTCTTTTTAAGTTTAATAATTTATACAGAAAAAGGGGGTTACTAATCCCTTGCTCCCGTCATTTTATTCATCTCTTACGACACTCATGACTTGGAAGGAAGAAATCTGTTCCACTTCCCCATGGAGAATATATATGTTATAAAATAGTTTTGCAGATGGGAAAGACTAAGACATGTACAAACCTTCACAGGATATTTATTGTAAAGCAGATCAAAGTTTTGGGTGGTAAATGCATCACCATCATCAGGAATTATATTTTGCAACATGACATAATAACATATATAGTGCATGATGGAAAATGTATTGGCACATTTTTTGCTAATGTATTATTGAATTTTATGTTGTATTCATAGATAACCCACAATTTGGAAGGAAACTTTAGACCACGTTTCGGACCTAGATAGACCGAAACATCATGTAAAGTTTCTTCTCCAAATTTTTAGTTATTTGTAACATAGTTTTAGATGTGCACACATACACACACACACATACACACACACACCCCACACACACACACACACACACACACACACACACACACACACACACACACACACACACACACACACACATACACAGGTTCACCCCATAAACATGATTTTACATGTATACACGAGTATTTCACACATGGACAAGTGTACACACACTAGTGTTCACACAAAATAGGATGCACCTATAACGTACATGTACACAACGCACATGCAGGCATAAAATAGGCATGTACACGTACACATTGCTTACACATGGGGCATGCATGTGTACACAGTGCTTACACATGGGGCATGCATGTGTACACAGCGCTTACGCATGGGGCATGCACACAGGGTTCAGATACAGACATATACATAGTGTACGGACATAGACACATACAAACACAGACATACACATAGTGTACGGACACGGACACATGCAAACGCACCTGCATTCTCCTGGCTTGGTACAGTGTCCGTGGGCCTGACTGCAGTTATTGCTGCACACAGCTGCAAATGGAAGGGCGACACAAGTTAATGCTTAGTTTATACACTCCTACAGCACTGATACTCCTACAATGCCCCTTCATTACTCCTACAATGCCCCTTCATTACTCCTGCAATGCCCCTTCATTACTCCTACAATGCCCCTTCATTACTCCTTCAATGCCCCTTCATTACTCCTGCAATGCCCCTTCATTACTCCTACAATGCCCCTTCATTACTCCTACAATGCCCCTTCATTACTCCTGCAATGCCCCTTCATTACTCCTACAATGCCCCTTCATTACTCCTACAATGCCCCTTCATTACTCCTACAATGCCTCTTCATTACTCCTGCAATGCCCCTTCATTACTCCTGCAATGCCCCTTCATTACTCCTGCAATGCCCCTTCATTACTCCTACAATGCCCCTTCATTACTCCTACAATGCCCCTTCATTACTCCTACAATGCCCCTTCATTACTCCTGCAATGCCCCTTCATTACTCCTGCAATGCCCCTTCATTACTCCTGCAATGCCCCTTCATTACTCCTGCAATGCCCCTTCATTACTCCTACAATGCCCCTTCATTACTCCTGCAATGCCCCTTCATTACTCCTGCAATGCCCCTTCATTACTCCTGCAATGCCCCTTCATTACTCCTGCAATGCCCCTTCATTACTCCTGCAATGCCCCTTCATTACTCCTGCAATGCCCCTTCATTACTCCTGCAATGCCCCTTCATTACTCCTGCAATGCCCCTTCATTACTCCTGCAATGCCCCTTCATTACTCCTGCAATGCCCCTTCATTACTCCTGCAATGCCCCTTCATTACTCCTACAATGCCCCTTCATTACTCCTACAATGCCCCTTCATTACTCCTACAATGCCCCTTCATTACTCCTACAATGCCCCTTCATTACTCCTACAATGCCCCTTCATTACTCCTGCAATGCCCCTTCATTACTCCTGCAATGCGCTTGAGGTTTCTAAACCTGTATTCCCTGGAACGCAGGAGGGAGAGATACATGATTATATACACCTGGAAAATCCTAGAGGGACTAGTACCGAACTTGCACACGAAAATCACTCACTACGAAAGCAAAAGACTTGGCAGACGATGCACCATCCCCCCAATGAAAAGCAGGGGTGTCACTAGCACGTTAAGAGACCATACAATAAGTGTCAGGGGCCCGAGACTGTTCAACTGCCTCCCAGCACACATAAGGGGGATTACCAACAGACCCCTGGCAGTCTTCAAGCTAGCACTGGACAAGCACCTAAAGTCGGTTCCTGACCAGCCGGGCTGTGGCTCGTACGTTGGTTTGCGTGCAGCCAGCAGCAACAGCCTGGTTGATCAGGCGCTGATCCACCAGGAGGCCTGGTCACAGACCGGGCCGCGGGGGCGTTGACCCCCGAAACTCTCTCCAGGTAAACTCCAGGTCATTACTCCTACAATGCCCCTTCATTACTCCTACAATGCCCCTTCATTACTCCTACAATGCTACTACATTTTGTGTTATTTTTAAAGGACAAATATTTGTTTACATTTTAGAGAGTTTGTCAAAAGGCGCTTGTCTACAAGACACTTAGCTTGTTGTGTGTAAGGGGGTGTGCATGTGTACTCGCCTATTTGTACTCGCCTGTTTGTGGCTACAGGAGTTAAGTCACAGCTCCTGGCCCCGCCTTTTCATGAATTTTATTTTATCTCTTCTTAAAGCTGTGTATGGATCCCGCCTCCACTACCTCACTCGCCAGATTGTTCCACTTCTGACAGCTCTGTAACTAAAAAAATACTTCCTGACATCCCTGTGACTCATCTGAGTTTTCAGCTTCCAGTTGTGACAGCTTCTCGAGGGCCGAGAAAAACTAATTTTGGGTGTGATTTACAGGGCCCCAAATCTTGATAGGGAGTGCAGTAAACTTCTATGGGACGAAATTCGTAAGGCATCTACATACGAAAATGTTGTGCTAATGGGAGATTTCAACTATAGACAGATTGACTGGAGCAATTTGACAGGAAATTTAGAGTCGGGTGACTTTCTTGATACGATCCAGGATTGTTTTTTAAAACAGTTTGTGACAGAGCCAACTAGGGGAAATAACCTCCTTGACTTGGTTCTTGCCAGTAGGGAAACACTAATTAATAATCTTGAGGTTAATGATGAGCTTGGGGAGAGTGATCACAAATCACTCAGTTTTAACATATCATGGAATTCCCCTAATAATGGCAATCAAGTCTCCGTCCCTGACTTTCGCTTGGCTGATTTCATAGGACTGAAAAATTACTTAGGTGGGCTGAACTGGAATGACCTGACTAAGGGTCAGGTAGGTGGTGATGGTTGCCGATATGATGCTTTCCATGGCATAGTTCTAGCTGCTCAGTCAAATTATGTTCCAAATAGGGAAATCAGATCAAACAAAAATGATCCTAAATGGATGAACAATAGATTAAAATATCTGATTGGTCAAAAGAGAGGCATATATAGGCAAATCAAAAGAGGAGAGGGGCAATTAAGAAATCGATATATTCAGTTAAAGAGAGAAATAAAAAAGGGAATTAGAAAAGCAAAAAGAGATTATGAGGTTAAAGTTGCAAGAGAATCGAAGACTAACCCAAAAGGATTCTTTCAGGTATACAGAAGTAAAATCAGGGACAAGATAGGCCCACTCAAAAGTTCCTCGGGTCAGCTCACTGACAGTGATAAGGAAATGTGTAGAATTTTTAACACATACTTCCTCTCAGTTTTTACACAGGAGGATACCAGCGATATTCCAGTAATGATAAATTATGTAGAACAGGACGATAATAAACTGTGCACTATTAGGGTCACAAGTGACATGGTCCTTAGGCAAATAGATAAATTAAAACCTAACAAATCCCCAGGCCCTGATGAACTGTATGCAAGGGTTCTGAAGGAATGTAAAGAGGAGCTTAGCACACCTTTGGCTAATCTTTTCAACATATCACTACAAACTGGCATGGTGCCAGATAAGTGGAAAATGGCAAATGTGATACCTATTTTCAAAACAGGTGACAGGTCCTTAGCTTCGAACTATAGACCAATAAGCCTAACCTCCATAGTGGGAAAATTTATGGAATCAATAATTGCCGAGGCAGTTCGTAGCCACCTTGAAAAGCATAAATTAATCAACGAATCTCAGCATGGTTTTACAAAGGGGCGTTCCTGCCTTACGAATTTATTAACTTTATTCACTAAGGTATTTGAGGAGGTAGATCATGGTAATGAATATGATATTGTGTATATGGACTTCAGTAAGGCTTTTGACAGGGTCCCACATCAGAGACTATTGAGGAAAATTAAAGCACATGGAATAGGAGGAGAAATTTTTTCCTGGATAGAGGCATGGTTGACAAATAGGCAGCAGAGAGTTTGCATAAATGGGGAGAAATCAGAATGGGGAAGCGTCACGAGCGGTGTTCCACAGGGGTCAGTGTTGGGCCCCCTGCTGTTCACAATCTACATAAACGACATAGATGAGGGCATAAAGAGCGACATCGGCAAGTTTGCCGATGACACCAAAATAGGCCGTCGAATTCATTCTGACGAGGACATTCGAGCACTCCAGGAAGATTTGAATAGACTGATGCAGTGGTCGGAGAAGTGGCAGATGCAGTTTAATATAGACAAATGCAAAGTTCTAAATGTTGGACAGGACAATAACCATGCCACATATAAACTAAATAATGTAGATCTTAATATTACGGATTGCGAAAAAGATTTAGGAGTTCTGGTTAGCAGTAATCTGAAACCAAGACAACAGTGCTTAAGTGTTCGCAATAAAGCTAATAGAATCCTTGGCTTCATATCAAGAAGCATAAATAATAGGAGTCCTCAGGTTGTTCTTCAACTCTATACATCCTTGGTTAGGCCTCATTTAGATTATGCTGCACAGTTTTGGTCACCGTATTACAGAATGGATATAAATTCTCTGGAAAATGTACAAAGGAGGATGACAAAGATGATCCCATGTATCAGAAACCTTCCCTATGAGGATAGACTAAGGGCCCTGAAACTGCACTCTCTAGAAAGACGTAGAATTAGGGGGGATATGATTGAGGTGTATAAGTGGAAGACAGGAATAAATAAAGGGGATGTAAATAGTGTGCTGAAAATATCTAGCCTAGACAGGACTCGCAGCAATGGTTTTAAGTTGGAAAAATTCAGATTCAGGAAGGATATAGGAAAGTACTGGTTTGGTAATAGAGTTGTGGATGAGTGGAACAAACTCCCAAGTACCGTTATAGAGGCCAGAACGTTGTGTAGCTTTAAAAATAGGTTGGATAAATACATGAGTAGATGTGGGTGGGTGTGAGTTAGACCTGATAGCTTGTGCTAACAGGTCGGTTGCCGTGTTCCTCCCTTAAGTCAATGTGACCTGACCTGTCTAGGTTGGGTGCATTGGCTTAAGCCGGTAGGAGACTTGGACCTGCCTCGCATGGGCCAGTAGGCCTTCTGCAGTGTTCCTTCGTTCTTATGTTCTTATGTTCTTATGACCCCTTGTTGCTGTGTCCCATCTCTGAGACATCCTGTCCCTATCCACCTTGTCAGTTCCTCGCGACGCGCATTTTGCTGCAGTAGGTATTTGGTTGATGTGTGCCTCGGGCAATATGCTTGATGTAATACCCCAAGGCCCACCTTGAGTGAGGTTTGAAGCCTTTAACCCCCGAGCTTGTACTCCGTCTGCGGTCTTCTTTACCCTTCCCCAATCTTCATAACTTTGCATTTGTTGGGGTTGTGTGTGTGTGTGTGTGTGTGTGTGTGTGTGTGTGTGTGTGTGTGTGTGTGTGTGTGTGTGTGTGTGTGTGTGTGTGTGTGTGTGTGTGTGTGCCTTTGTGCGTGTGACTTTGAGTCAGGGGGATAGCTGGAGGGAGTTAGAAAATAATGAAGGCATAGTGTGAGGGAGAATCACAGTTTACCTCAGGTACTCACGCTGGGAGCAGAGGTGTCCTGACCATCCTTGGTTACAGAGACATTCGTCAGGTGAGGTACACGAGCCATGCTGACACCCAGCCCGGGGTACACACTCGTTACATTGACGTCCACGCCAACCTGTGAGGGTACACTCCAACTTTACACATCTTCATTTCAATGCTACAACACGTGTACACAGTGCTTACACATGGGGCATGCACACAGGATTCAGACACAGACATATACTGTGATAAAATAGTGAAAACAGCAAGCTCAAGAATGTAAATTTTAACTCTTGCTGAGTTCTACATCAGGCTTCCATTGCTGTTTTGTTGTGTATATGTGGGTTAGTAATCAAAACTGACAAGCGTTCATTTACTTGAAGAGTGCCAGATCTTACAATTAACCTGCACAAAATATTTGTTGACCTGATTTAGGTTAACATTAAAAGTATTGTCAAGAAAAACAAAGAAATAGCTTACTATTGATAGTGTGGGACATGTTACGAGACAGATATTACAATACTAACACTTGATTAATTACCCTAATGCAACATTTAAGTTATTTTATTAGGTGTTTTGCCCACTGGAGGCTTTTCAGTTTAATAAAGAGAATAGAAAACTGCAGATAAATAGGATGCAAGTCAAATAAGTCAGGTCCGGTGTTATTAGGTGTTTGAGCATGTGTCATCTGCTAATGTAGTGTGTGTTGGAGCTGAATCAGCTTGGTGAGCACTCTGAGATGCTAAAATTACCTGAATTTTAGGCTAGAGTGTCAGAAACCCCGATCAAAGCAGCGACGTTTCTGCATTGTCCTTCGTCTTCTCATCTCATCAAGAGCCCTTGTAAATTTCTTTATATTAAACAAACGTTTTTCAGATTATCTTTATTGCATGCATATTTGTGTTCACCAACATGCTGGATCAAGTTTCTGGCTGTCTTACTAACGTGAAACTTATCACATCCTCCGCATGGGATAGCATGTACACTTGCGCTAATCTCGACAGTACTAGCTGGTGTCTTATTAACTAACTCCTTGATATTTTACGAGGAGATATTGACCACATTAATTTTGTGACTCAGAAAAGTTCCAGAGCTATAACAAGGCTCATAGTTACAAAAAAAAAAAAAAAAAGTTCTGAAGAAAGGTTGAGAACGTTAGAGACGCCCACACTGCCTGATAGCAGGAAGAGTAGACATTATAACCATGTGTTTCTTGCAACACATTGGTAGTATTTTTGGTCATCTTACCAATAGGAACGATGTGCCTGTTTCCTGTAGCCACAAGTTAAATGTGAGGAAACTGAAGGGATGTGAATACTTGCACAATGTGAATTATGTGATCACATTCCTTTTCGAGGAACTTTGGGTTCGGATCTTATGCGCCCTAAGAAAAAACCTTATACATTTTTTTCTGATCTCTGTGTTACATTGAAAAACCTCCCCAGTGAGCTAAACATCCCTTAATAAACTGTTCAAACTTTTGCGTTTCTGTCCGTCACTGTGTGGGACATAAGAGTTTTTAGAAAGTTACTATCCTGACGCTTCCTGTTTACAGTTGCATGACCCTGATGAATATAAAAATGGTATATAATACCGTCAGGTTGATAAGACACATGCACAACAGTTAGGTATCTTTACTTCGAAACGTTTCGCCTACACAGTAGTCTTCTTCAGTCGAATACAGGAGACTTAGCAGTGGCAGTAGAGATGTGATGATGCTGTAATCAGTCAATCACCCTTGAAGACGTAGTTTTAAGGTAGTCAGTCCTTCAGCCTGGAAAAGTTTTAGTCCATAGTCTGGAACAATGGAGCAAAAATCTGTTTCTGGCTGAGGGACTGACCACCTCGAAACCACATCTTCAAGGGTGATAGATTACAAAGTCTTCACATCTCTACTGCTGTTGCTAACCCTTCTGTAGTCGACTGAAGACGCCTACTGTGTAGACGAAACGTTTCGGCTCTGGTGGCCTGGTGGCTTATAGGTCTCGCTTCACACGGCGAGGGCCTGGGTTCGATTCCCAGCCGGTAGAAACATTGGGCATGTTTCTTTCCACCTGTTGTCTATGTTCCCCATCAGTAAAATGGGTACCTGGGTGTTAGTCGACTGGTGTGGGTCGCATCCTGGGACACTGACCTAATTTGCCCGAAATGTTCAGCATAACAAGGGGCTTTCTATATAGTAGTATTTCATTAATGTCAGCTATGGTCTGTATACCTTGTACATGTACTTGTTGTAAATAAAGATATTATTATTATTATTATTATTATTATTATTATTATTATTATTAAGATACCTAACTGTTGCAGACGTGTCTTATTGACCTTGGTGGTTTAGGGCTTAGTTTTGAATGGGTTGCTATATCATTTAAACTCCCGAAGTACACTTAAGGATGAAAGACTAACCATGTATACTCATGCATGTACTTATGGTACAACTGCACCACTCACCTGGGGTACAGAGACATTCACCTGGTCGGGTACAGTTGCCATGTAACTGATGGCAACCTTCCATACACACTGGTACCCGGCAGTCTGCCCCGGTCCAACCCTCGGTACACTTCTGATGACAAAGGGCAGGATTATGAGACGTAAAATTTTGATTATAGAACATGACACTGAAATATTCTGAATATAGGGCATGACACTGAAATATTAGAATATAACAGCGAAATATTTTGAATATAGGGCATGACACTGAAATTTTCTTATTACAGAACATGACACTGAAATATTAGAACATGACACTGAAACATTAAAACAGAACATGACACTAATACAGAACATGACACTGAAACATTCTGATTATAAATCATGACATTGAATCAATCTTATTATAGGGATGTTGCTTAGGATGATACTCCACAAACTGCTGAACAGTTATTAAAGAACATGGTTGAGTACACGCAACTGTGTTTAAGAGAGGTACACAGTTCTTGTGTACGTACGTAGCAGCGTTTTATGTCTTATTTAAATGTGAAGACATCGCTTCCCCCCCCCCCTCTCTCTCTCTCTCTCATATATATATATATATATATATATATATATATATATATATATATATATATATATATATATATATATATATATATATATATATATATACACACATTGTATAACAATTGGCAACGGTGTGCATTGGTTCCTACCCACTAACCGTACGTTGGTAGCGGTGGTGGTAATAGTGGGTGTCACTTACCGTACGTTGGTAGCGGTGGTGATAATAGTGGGTGTCACTTACCGTACGTTGGTAGCGGCGGTAGTAATAGTGGGTGTCACTTACCGTACGTTGGTAGTGGCGGTGGTAATAGTGGGTGTCACTTACCGAGTCAAGGGAGGCGTTGGAGCAGCAAAACAGACACAAAAGAACCAAGAAGAGAACACAGAACTTCATCTTAACTGGATATTACTAAGCTTCCACCATGCTGGGAGTGATTTTAGCTTCTATCTCCTCTCTTTTCTCCTCGCTCATTACTCTTTATATCCCTTCAATTTTCTGCTCCTCTTCGTTGGACCTTGGTGTAACTTGGGGAGTAGGTCAGCGTGTTTTCAGCGAAATACAATACTGTCACCACAGTAACCACCAGCTTCTTAATTTACATTCTCCGTTTGTGTCTTCCTCCAGTATTGCACTTAATTGTTCGTTTTCATTAGTTTCACTTGTGTTTTCCTTATTTAAACTGAGCTTCTGTGAAAATTAATGATATAAACCTCTACTTACAAAAATATATTTACTAATATCTCAGCGATATATACAAAGTTATAAAATTTCATTTTATATATATATATATATATATATATATATATATATATATATATATATATATATATATATATATATTAGTGACACACACGAACGAAATTAATATACATTTAGCCACAGAGATAAGTATTTATGTTCTAGCATTTTCGCCGAATTCCTTTTCCTTTTTCAGGGACTGAATTAAATGAAATAAACAGTGATTAACCAGGATAATTTGAATAAAATATAGGAACACATGGACACATGTTTTTCAAGCGGTGGTGCCACGTCTTACTATGTGTCAGTACGCCCACATGGCCAACAATATGTATCACTACGCCAATATGCCCCGTACGATACTTTAGTATGAAGTCTAACAGGAGGCATCAGTACGCCCCCTGCACACAAATAAGCAAGACTGGAACTTTAAAAAGCGCGTTACGAAGCGAATTCTTTCCCCGTGGGAAAAATGTCTGAATATTATGCAAGTGACCCCACCCACCCTCCAGCCAGGAAGCTTCCGCTCTCGTTTTCTCTTGTTTACATCACTTTCACCTCTGTGTTTCTCGTTTTCTTTATGTTTGCTCTTAGTGTGCATGGCTGGCTGGTTTTATTTGCCTACTTCGTTTAATTAATCTCTACTCAGCCACTCACACAACTGAGGTGTAAACCAGATTGAATCACTTGTTGACACAAACAACAATGTAAAAAAACAGAGATTTAAGCAAATGTAACAATTGGAAGTTGAAAACTTAGATGAGCCACAGGGATGTTAGGAAATATTTCTTCAGTCATAGAGTTGTCAGGAAGTGGAACAATCTAGATATAGTGGATGTTCAATGAGGACAAATTCCAACTACTCAGTTATGGAAAACTGGAGGAGATAATAACTAGAACAGAGTATACTACAGACTCTGGCCATACAATAGAGCGGAAAAATAATGTAAGGGACCTGGGAGTAGTAATATCAAGGATCACAACAGTGCCACGATCGCACGTGCAAAGAAAATGATAGGATGGATAATGAGAACGTTCAAAACGAGAGATGCCAAGCCAATGATGATCCTTATCAAATCACTTGTTCTCTCTAGGCTGGAATACTGCTGTACATTAACATCTCCATTCAAAGCAGGTGAAATCGCAGATCTAGAGAGTGTACAGAGATCCTTTGCTGCACGTATAAGTTCTGTCAAGCACTTTAACTACTGGGAACACTTGGAAGCACTTGACTTGTACTCGTTGGAACGCAGGAGGGAGATATATATCATAATCTACACTTGGAAAATCCTAGAAGGAATGGTCCTAAATCTGCACACAGAAATCACTCCCTACGAAAGTAAAAGACTGGGCAGGCGATGCAAAATGCCCCCAGTTAAAGTAGGGGCGCCATTGGTACACAAAGGGAAAACACCATAAGTGTCCGGGGCCCAAGACTGTTCAACAGCCTCCCATCAAGCATTAGGGGAATTGCCAATAAACCCCTGGCTGCTTCAAGAGAGAGCTGGACAGATACCTAAAGTCAGTGCCGGATCAGCCGGGCTGTGGCTCGTACGTTGGACTGCGTGCGGCCAGCAGTAACAGCCTAGTTGATCAGGCCCTGACCCATCGGGAGGCCTGGTCATGGACTGGGCCGCGGGGGCGTTGATCCCCGGAATAACCTCCAGGTAACCTCCAGGTATAGCTTTAAGAAGAGGTATGATAAAGCTCATGGAGCAGGAAGAGTGACGACCTAGTAGCGACCAGTGTAGAGGCGGGGCCAGGAGCTGTGACACGACCCCTGCAACCACATATAGGTGAGTACACACACACACACACACACACACACACACACACACACACACACACACACACACACACACACAGGCTAGATTATAGGGTACAAAAGACAAGAGAACTAAAACACGAACATAGGGGAGATTAAAGAAGATAATGGATAATATTAGGCAGATACAACGATAATTGTACTTTATGTATACCTGTGCCCAAATAAACTTACAAAGACACTCCAAAATAAGAGACAATAGACAAGGAAGGAGGGGATAGCAGTGTGTATCCCTGTTACCGAACGGAGTATCCCATCTTGACTCAGGAAATCGTAATAACGCGATCACAAACAAACCACGGAACGGGTGGGGGTTTGAATCTATGGCTTGAGAATTTAAGGACTCTCTTGCCATAGGTTCAAACCTCACCTCGTCCGTGGTTTATTCCATCTGTAGCGGTGGGTAAAACAAACAAGACAGAAGCCTCAAGTGGCGAAACGTTTCTTTTAGTCTCGCTCAGTTCATACTGATGTTTTTACTTCTGACTTGTTGGTAGTACCATACCAGTGTTGCAGCATGTCCACCAGTGTTGCACCAGTCTCCACCAATGTTGCAGCAGTGTCCACCAGTGTTGCACCAGACTCCACCAGTGTTACATCAGTCTACCAGTGTTGCACCAGTCTCCACCAGTGTTGCACCAGTCTCCACCAGTGTTGCACCAGTCTCCACCAATGTTGCACCAGTCTCCACCAATGTTGCACCAGTCTCCACCAGTGTTGCATCAGTCTACCAGTGTTGCACCAGTCTCCACCAGTGTTGCACCAGTCTCCACCAATGTTGCAGCAGTCTCCACCAGTGTTGCATCAGTCTCCACCAGTGTTGCATCAGTCTCCACCAGTGTTGCACCACTCTCCACCAGTGTTGCAGCAGTGTCCACCAGTGTTGCAGCAGTGTCCGCCAGTGTTGCACCAGTCTCCACCAGTGTTACACCAGTCTCCACCAGTGTTGCACCAGTATCCACCAGTGTTGCAGAAGTCTCCACCAGTGTTGCACCAGTCTCCACCAGTGTTGCACCACTCTCCACCAGTGTTGCAGCTGTGTCCACCAGTGTTGCTGCAGTGTCCGCCAGTGTTGCACCACTCCACCAGTGTTGCAGCAGTGTCCGCCAGTGTTGCACCAGTATCCACCAGTGTTGCACCAGTCTCCACCAGTGTTGCACCATGCTCCACCAGTGTTGCACAAGTCTCTACCAGTGTTGCAGCAGTCTCCACTAGTGTTGCACCAGTTGCTTGTGTACTGCCACAGTTGCTTGTGTACTGCCACAGTTGCTTGTGTACTGCCACAGTTGCTTGTGTACTGCCACAGTTGCTTGTGCACTGCCACAGTTGCTTGTGTACTGCCACAGTTGCTTGTGCACTGCCACAGTTGCTTGTGCACTGCCACAGTTGCTTGTGTACTGCCACAGTTGCTTGTGTACTGTCACAGTTGCTTGTGTACTGCCACAGTTGCTTGTGCACTGCCACAGTTGCTTGTGCACTGCCACAGTTGCTTGTGTACTGCCACAGTTGCTTGTGTACTGCCACAGTTGCTTGTGCACTGCCACAGTTGCTTGTGCACTGCCACAGTTGCTTGTGCACTGCCACAGTTGCTTGTGTACTGCCACAGTTGCTTGTGTACTGCCACAGTTGCTTGTGTACTGCCACAGTTGCTTGTGTACTGCCACAGTTGCTTGTGTACTGCCACAGTTGCTTGTGCACTGCCACAGTTGCTTGTGCACTGCCACAGTTGCTTGTGTACTGTCACAGTTGCTTGTGTACTGCCACAGTTGCTTGTGCACTGCCACAGTTGCTTGTGTACTGCCACAGTTGCTTGTGTACTGCCACAGTTGCTTGTGTACTGCCACAGTTGCTTGTGTACTGCCACAGTTGCTTGTGTACTGCCACAGTTGCTTGTGCACTGCCACAGTTGCTTGTGTACTGCCACAGTTGCTTGTGCACTGCCACAGTTGCTTGTGCACTGCCACAGTTGCTTGTGCACTGCCACAGTTGCTTGTGTACTGCCACAGTTGCTTGTGTACTGTCACAGTTGCTTGTGTACTGCCACAGTTGCTTGTGTACTGTCACAGTTGCTTGTGTACTGCCACAGTTGCTTGTGCACTGCCACAGTTGCTTGTGCACTGCCACAGTTGCTTGTGCACTGCCACAGTTGCTTGTGTACTGCCACAGTTGCTTGTGTACTGCCACAGTTGCTTGTGTACTGCCACAGTTGCTTGTGTACTGCCACAGTTGCTTGTGCACTGCCACAGTTGCTTGTGCACTGCCACAGTTGCTTGTGCACTGTCACAGTTGCTTGTGTACTGCCACAGTTGCTTGTGCACTGCCACAGTTGCTTGTGTACTGCCACAGTTGCTTGTGTACTGCCACAGTTGCTTGTGTACTGCCACAGTTGCTTGTGTACTGCCACAGTTGCTTGTGTACTGCCACAGTTGCTTGTGCACTGCCACAGTTGCTTGTGCACTGCCACAGTTGCTTGTGCACTGCCACAGTTGCTTGTGTACTGCCACAGTTACTTGTGTACTGTCACAGTTGCTTGTGTACTGCCACAGTTGCTTGTGTATTGTCACAGTTGCTTGTGCACTGCCACAGTTGCTTGTGCACTGCCACAGTTGCTTGTGCACTGCCACAGTTGCTTGTGCACTGCCACAGTTGCTTGTGTACTGCCACAGTTGCTTGTGTACTGCCACAGTTGCTTGTGTACTGCCACAGTTGCTTGTGCACTGCCACAGTTGCTTGTGTACTGCCACAGTTGCTTGTGTACTGCCACAGTTGCTTGTGCACTGCCACAGTTGCTTGTGCACTGCCACAGTTGCTTGTGCACTGCCACAGTTGCTTGTGTACTGCCACAGTTGCTTGTGTACTGTCACAGTTGCTTGTGTACTGCCACAGTTGCTTGTGTACTGTCACAGTTGCTTGTGTACTGCCACAGTTGCTTGTGCACTGCCACAGTTGCTTGTGCACTGCCACAGTTGCTTGTGCACTGCCACAGTTGCTTGTGTACTGCCACAGTTGCTTGTGTACTGCCACAGTTGCTTGTGTACTGCCACAGTTGCTTGTGCACTGCCACAGTTGCTTGTGCACTGCCACAGTTGCTTGTGTACTGTCACAGTTGCTTGTGTACTGCCAC